GTGTGATTATTACAGGAAACTTCACAGACAGTTTCTCTCTCCATCACATCAACAATGGGGATTTCATCTTTCAGCCAGCCTTGTGTTAGAAACTCCCACGTGCTCATGAGCAGAGCAAGCTGAGACAAGATCTGTTATTTTTCAGTGGCAGGAAAACATGATCACATGATTAATAATCAACTGAATTGTCTCTAAAACATAAATCAAATGCACTCAGAGTATATTCAGAGACGCTTTCAGACATTTTTAAACTCCTTGCCCACTTCCACAGTCATCACCTTAGTCCTTAGAAATATTCTGTTTCTACTACTGTGACATCTGTGCTCTTTAATGCCCTCAAACAATAAAACAGGTTTAATTATTTTTGTTTTCATTACTTTTTAAACCTATGCAGGATGATCACTGTGTGGCCGAGGATGGTGCAGAGCTGTAAAGTAAAAAGGCTTCATATTTCCTGTGATGCACATCGTCTTCTAGAGTGTCATGTTTCTAACGTCATATTAAATGGTGTTAGAGTAGGAAATCCCTGCAAGTAAAAACTTCAGACTGCTCTAAACACTCAGTTTCAAACTTTTACAGACATGTCCTCAGTGTGAGGCAGAGGAGGATGAGAGATCAAAGAGAAATACTTAAATATGAAATCATCAAATAGAGATGGGCAGGTAGATATGAAGTAAAGCTGCGTGTGTCTCTATTAAACAGCTTCTATCAGCCCTGAAACACGTGCTTTTTGTTTTTGTCTTCAGCCTCGTCGTATTTACGCTCGTGTTTATGACCCCGCCCTTATTATATTATTATTATTTATTTTCTCCTTCTCCTGACACAATCGGATAGAGCTGCTGAAAACAAACGCGACTGTTACCCACTCGGACATCTCAGCTTTGTTTCCAAGCTGAATTTTAATCCCGTCATAGTTTAAACTGGGATATTTAGCAAACTTTGAAGAGTCGGATCAGCAGAACAATGAGGAGGAAATGGCTGCTGGTACATCTGGTCATCCCTGCAGGTGAGTGTTAACCTGTTTTGACTCCAGCAGTGTCACACAAGAGCTTTCTTCATATTTATCATGTAAACGTGCCTTTAAACAGATTGAGTGATCTGCCAGCTGTCACTGCAGATAAGTAGTAACTGACATGGAGGGTGGAGAAACTTTTTAGGAGCGTTTTTTTTTTCTTTTTAGTTTGCTGGCTTCATAGAACCTGAAAGTTCCGTCAGATTCGCTGATAGGAGGTTAAAAACCTCCTGTGCAGACTTTCTGCGTCTGTCTGTGCGCACTCACTCATTTTCTTTTCCTTTTTTTCTGTGCATAACCTACTGTTGAGACGTCAGAGATCAGCTGAATAAGCATATGAAACACGAATATGAAACAGTGCTCAAAGACAAGTATCTCTGACAGTGTATATACAGATGTATTATACAGACAAATATTGTTCGTTTCATACGTTGGCATTATTACATTTGGCTCAATGCTTACATACATGTGTAAAAACAAAATGTACGAGCTGTGATAACTGT